TTCCCATTTTTCCACCCTCCAGGGACAGCAATTTATCCTTTACTGCAGTAGATGGAATCATGAACTCGGGTCTTCCCACTCTTGCGAACAATTACCTTTTTTAATGAATGCTGGTTCATATTTTTTAAAAGTGAGCAGTGATTATTTTTTTCAGGCAGAGCACAACATGTGCTAATTTGGATGTTAAGTTATTTAAACCACTTGGTATTTTTCATTATGGCTCCTGGTAAGTGATGTCCTCCTGGCTGCAGTACCACGGTTCTCAGATAAATCTGTGCTTGTGCAGGACTTTGAAAATAGATTTAGTGCTTTATTTTTACCTCAGTGACTATTTTTCAGTGCTTTGGGAGCAACAATCTTCAAGGATCCTCATGAGACCACAAGAACTACCTTAATTTTTTATAAACATTCTTTGCTGCTATTTTAAGAACACATGTTTCGACGTGTAGCTGCTTTTTTATACGAGGCAGGAACACACCATCCCTGCCACCATTTCTTTTATTAATGTATAAGCTTTTCAATTTTTCAAACCTTCAGTTTGTGATAGTTCAGCCTCACATAGTTGTATCTGTAAACATGAAAATCTCCTTTCAAAAGACAGAGTAGAAAGAGACTGTTCCAGGGAGATTCTGTGTGGTAAAATGTGTCATCTTTAGGATGATATTTTGAATTTGTGCAGGTATTTCTTAAGTATTTGGTCTAACATCTGAACACTAAGGCACATTGCATGTCAAACTCTTCAAAGGAACTGGTTTCAGTTCAAGAATAAAACTAAAAGACAAGAAATTGAGGCAAGGAAGAAAAGAGGTGGGTGTTTTCAGATGAAGTGGGAAGATATGTGACAGAATCCACTATAGTTATATTTTTAAGAGGCACTCTTATCCCTAAATTATGCCACCTGCAGAAAAATCTGTGGATAAAAATAATACGTAAAATAGTCACAACTATTTATATTAATTCAGCACTTTGTTATTTTCTTCATTTCAGGGGAAGAAAGGGAAGCTGTAAGAAGCTCAAGGTACTGTCTAGAGTCTAATAGAAGAATTAACAGTGAACAGTAGAGAGTTGCTTATTTATTTTCACATGTTGAATATTTTAAAAGTTAACTTTTCAGGCCTGTTTCTGCTCAGTTTATTTATTTGTTCCAATGTATTGGTGTGTTTGCAGCTGGGGGGTGGATTTTACCCAGCTATTCCTTTGTTTGAGATAACCAAGTGCCACAAATAGGGAATATTTATGACACTGAAGAATATCAATTGCAGTGGTGCTTGGCCATAATATTGAACTCATTATTTATATTTTTCGCAAGCAGCTAGAATAGCATTATGTTCATTTTTAATGGATACTATCCCTGTGTTACACCTGCAACATGGGACTGTTTCTCATCCATAAACAGGCAGAGCAGTTTTTCTTCAAAACTAGTTTTTAAGCTAAAAATGTAAAGGTGTTCCTTTAGTGCAGTTGGACGGTGCAGTTTCACTGGCTGTAGCTACAGTTGTTACAATAAAACTTAAGAAAACGTTTTCTTTTTGATTACTTGTCGTTATTTGAGTAATTCCTTAAAGCTTTGTAGTTGTGAGATAGAAGAAACATTAACTTTCTACAAGCAATCCAAAAGGTTAATGAATACCTCTGGAAAACTTGCAGATCGGTTATTCATTGAATAGTAGAGAAGCAGTTTAAATCTTAATTTTTAATTATATGTGGTACACGAGCCAAGAATTTAAAGGATCATTAGCGACAGAGAAGAGGTTAAGGGGATATGTGTTGTTCTAGGATTTATATGCTGCCTATAAACTAAGCGAGACGGCTCCTATGAGCTATTTAACTGACGTTTAACCACACTAAATCTTTATAAATTAACATATATAACAATATACGCTATTAACAATAACATTCGTTCTGTGAATCAGTGGGTTTCATCTCAGCTGTGCGTGGTTTCCCCACCGGGAGAAGCCGCGGTGGCTCCCTGGTGTCCCTCCCTAGCTCAGGTTCCTGCAGTGCGAGGGCCCGCTGGGGTTGTAGCTGGGGTGGAAGTCCATGTGCTCGTAGGCGGTGATGAAGGTGTCGGGGCCCGTGCAGTAGCTCTTCTCCAGCGAGGTGTTGAGGCTGTTGTTCCTGTACATGCCAGCCTTGCCCAGATGATCCGAAAACTTGTGCGAGATGACGCGGAAGCAGGTCTGGGGAGGGGCGAGAAAAGAAGGGAGATGGTTTAAAATTGCCCACAGCGCCTGCAAAGTTTGGATGCGAAGCTGGGTTTCAGCTACCGGGGACGCCGCGGAGGGCAAAGCTTGGCCGTGCTGACCCCGAGCCCCCCCGGGGGTCCCTCCATCACCTACCGGCAGCTCGTGCACCGTGGGGGCCCTGCTGCCGTAGGTCTGGTTGGTGGTGCGGAACCGGGGGTGCGGCGCCGGCTGCCTGCGGGGCGAGAGCACGGGGTAGGTGGGGGGCACGGGGGGCTCCGGGGGGCCCGCCCCGAGCTCCCCGCTCACCCGTAGCCGCGGTAGAAGGCGGGCTGTCGGAAGCGGCCGGGCAGGCCGGGGTCGGGGCCGGACATGGCTCAGGGCACTGAGCGTTGCTCGGCGACGGGACGCGATCGCGCCGCGCTCCGCCCCGGGGAGGGCGCGGGGCCCGCCCCGCCCCGCAGGAAGCGGAAAGCGCCGCTGACCTTCCTCATCCTCCTCCTGCTCCCGCTCCCGCTGCCCCGCGGTACCCTCGGAGCATGGCGGTGCCGCGGCTCCTGCGGGCAGGTGAGCGGGCGCTGCCCAGCCCCGCCCGGTCCGCCCCGGCCCGCCCGTGTGACCCCCGTGTTTCTCTCCCGCAGCGGCCCCGCGGCTCTACAGCACCGTCCTGGTACCGGCCCCGGCCACGGCCACGGCCCCGGTGGCGACCCAGCCCAGCGGTGAGTGTTTTCCCTCCCCGGGTCCAGGCCAGGAGCGATGCCCGTGCAGGTATCGCCTCGTTGCAGCAGGTGGTCGTGGGTGCATCGGGGTCCTTTCTGCAGACCCAGCTCGTCCCCCAAAACACCAGAGGGAGCAGTGATTGATTGTTTCCCTTCTCTCAGCTGCAGATGACAAGCTGCTGTCAGAGCCTCTCAGCCACCCCGACTTCTTCAACGTGAAGGAGCTCTTCACCCTGAAAGATCTCTTTGATGCTCGGGTGCACCTGGGCCACAAAAAGGGCTGTCGGCACAGGTGAGTGGAATTATTTCATCATCCAGTGCTTGTTGACATCAGGAGTGCTTCCATAAACAGTGTTTGCTTTGGGGGCTGCACTAGATTGGTCTGAGCCTGGAACTGCCCACACAGGGCAGATTACAGGGACCCCCCACAATGTGGGCACCAAGGGGGGGTGAGACCCACAGTCCCCCAAGCCCAGCTGGAACAGACACTGGGCACGAGGGCTCTCTGCAGAGAGCACCTCTGGTATCAGCCGGGAGCTGGAGTGGGGGAAAGGAAGGTTCCTGTGCGGCCACCCCACATCCAGAAGCGCTCAGTGCCTGCACACCTTGTCCCCGTGCCCCTGTGCCGCCCTCCCTCTGCCCCCGCAGGTTCATGGAGCCCTACATCTTCGGCTGCCGGCTGGATCAGGACATCATCGACCTGGAGCAGACCATGCAGCACCTCCAGCTGGCCCTCAACTTCACGGCCCACATCGCCTACCGCAAGGGCATCATCCTCTTCATCAGCCGCAAGCGCCAGTTCTGCCACCTGGTGGAGTGCACGGCGCGGGCCTGCGGCGAGTACGCGCACACGCGCTACTGGCAGGGCGGGCTCCTCACCAACGCCCACATCCAGTTCGGCGCCGGCGTCCGCCTGCCCGACCTCATCGTCTTCCTCAGCAGCCTCAACAACGTCTTCCAGACGCACGTGGCCGTCCGGGACGCCGCCAAGATGAACATCCCCACGGTGGGCGTGGTGGACACGAACTGCAACCCCTCCCTGATCACCTACCCGATCCCCGGCAACGACGACAGCCCCTCGGCCGTGGAGCTCTACTGCAAGCTCTTCAGGATGACCATCATCCGCGCCAAGGACAAGAGGCGGCAGAGCGAGGCCGTCGAGGAGCTGCGGAGGAAAGCTGAGGGCAATTAGAGCCCCCGAGACGGGCTCGGTGCCTTGGGGATGGGTCTCTGGCTCCAATTCCAAAGGACTGGCTCTGCACTCCGGGCACTGGCTTCTGGCAGGGCTGGGCTGGCTGTGGAAGGGGCCCGGGGCCCCCCAGCTCTGCTGTGCACAGAGATCCCGTGGTGGTCACAGCCACACACAGTCCCCGGCTCAAATTGCTCCCTCCAGAGCCATGCAGGGAAAATGGAGCCAGGCCAGACCTTGCCCCATTCCTTGGGTTTGTCCCTGTTGCAAGGAAGTGCCGATGTCCTGTGGCCTTCCTGTTCCTGAGCTCGTGATCTCACCTGAAACCAGTTGTATCTCGCGCCTCTTCTTAACAAATAAAGGGGTTTGTCCCTCTGATCCTTTTTGTTTCTTCCATGGTGAAATGGGAAGGGGAGTCTGCAATGCCAGGGGAGTCAAGGCAATGGGAGGGAAAGGGATGAAGGATGTCCCCAAGCTGGGGACATTGCAGGGCTGGAGGGGCCCCAGTGGGGTTGGAGGGTCCCCGCTGGCTGATTCATCACAGAATTGAAGGATCTTCACCGGCTGGTGCATCATGGGGCTGGAGGGTCCATGCTTTGTCCCAGGACATGCTCGGAGCCAAACCACGGGAAGCAGGGGATCCCGAAGCAGCTGAGAAAAGGGATATCCATCCCCTAGTACGCCTCGTGCCTCCATGGGAGGCCCTAGAGCAGTCTTGCAGGGTGGGGAAGAACCCTGAGCAGGGCCCCCCGTTCCTTGCCCGTGTTCCCCTCCCGTGTCCTCGGTCCCTGCTTTGAGACCTCCCGCCCAGCAGGGGGCGCTCGCGGGCGCGAAAGCACCGCGCAGGCCCTTCGTTCCCGGCCTATATAAGCGGGAGGCGGGAGGTAGATCGTCCTTTCTGCAGGCGCGGAGCGGAGCGTGCGGGTCTTCGGGGGTTCCTCAGTGGGACTGGGAATGGGAGCGAGACCGGCCCTTCCCGGCCTGGTCATGGCGAAACTGAGGGGCCCTTCGGTGGCGGGAAGCCGGTGCTGGCCGAGAAGGGCCGCGCTGCCCTTCCCGCGCCATGTTGTGGCGAAGCTGCCTGAGGGCCAGTCCCGCTTCCTCTCGGCCCCGGCGCTGAGCGGCCCCGGTGGGGAGACGTGAAGGGGAGAGTGAAGGTAAGGCGGGTCCCCGCTCAGCTGGACCCATCCTGGAGGGGCCGCGGTTCCCCCGGGGCTCCGGGGGCTCCAGGCGCTGCCACGTGTGCTGTAAATCCGGTATATCTTCAGCTCATGTATAGCAATGGGCTAGGGCTATTTTATATATATGTATAAATATATACATGCACACACAGAGATATCTGAATACAGCTGTATATATTTTAATATATACATTTAATATATATTTCAATATATGCGTTTAATATAAATTTCAATATATGCGTTTAATATATATTTTAATATATATTCCCCCTCCGAGGAGGGGAGGAAAATCTAAGGCTGCCGCCTATTCAGGTTTTCAGGAAAATTATTTTTTTAAAGATTCAAGTCTTCGGCAGATATTCTATTTTTTTAAATTATGTTTTAAATCTCTAGTTTTCAGGTAAACAGTGTGTTTCGCCAAAAAAAAGGTGGTTACATAGTTTACCTAACACTCGTGTGGTATTAACTGCATGCTTTATTTGTCTTTTTTCAGCCCATCAGCAGGCAAAAAATGAAGGGGCAGAGATTGTGTGTCTTCAGAAAAGAAGGGTGATGCTTCACACAAAGGCTGCCCAGCGAATGCCTTTGTAACACTGCTTTCCAAGAGGTGATATAATCTTCTTATAAATACCATAAAATCATGGAATAGTTTGGATTGGAAGGGAACTTAAAGCCCATCTCACTGAACCCCCTGCCACGGGCAGGGACACCTTCCACTAGACCAGGTTGCTCATCCAACCTGGCCTCAAATGCTTCCAGGAGTGGGACACGCACCCGTAATTGCATTTTCTTCAGTCTTTATGCTTTTGGTTTTGGGATTTTTTTTATTTCCCAAGCTGCCACTGGCGTTGCAGAGATGGCTGCTGTGGCATCTTTGTGTCAAGAGGTGGCAAGAGAGACAGGCTGTGTTCTACGCTCGTTTGCTCTGCAGCCCGTGAGCACTCAGAGTGATTGACAGCCTGACATCATTAATAAACCAGCTGCCTCCGAGCAGACTGGTGAAAAACTCACTTCTGGTGGCCCTAAGTGTGAGGTCTGTGTGTAGCACGATGGGAAGTTGTTCTGTTTGACCTGTAGTGGATGTGCTGCAGAGAAGCTGCACGTGGCTTTATGATTATATAGCCTTGAAAAACAGATCCTGTGGGTACAATCTTGTAGAAGAATGAGTTAAAGTTATTAGTCTAAAGCCATGTGGTGAGTTGGTGACATCACTGGGAGCATGTCCTGGGAGTCGCCAACCCTGTTTCTATCCAAAAACATTCCTCTGCTATGCATTTATTTCTTTCAAGTTCCTGTCATCAGTAACTGTATAACCAAGCTTTGAAGTGTGTTTAAACCCTGTGTATGTATTTTCCACGTGTTTTCCAGGCAAAGCCATGTGACTGGCAGAGCAGGAGGTGTCCCAGACCCGAGGTGAGCCACAGCAGTGTGAGTTGCCCACACAGCCCTGCCCCATCTCGTGTTGCAGGCGTGGCTGCAGTGCCACGTCTGTGTCAATCGGTGGCAGAGAGGAACAGGAGACTCCTTCCCTGGTGCTCTGACCCCTGTGAGCTCCCAGGATTGCTCAACAACCTGACATTTATTTATTGCTTTTCCTGTTTGTGGCTTTTTTTTTTTTCCCCTTTAATGTAAATCTGAAATGGTGAAGCGTGGACAGGGCACAGCAGCTGTTTTACTAACACTGTGTTAAAAGCTAATTCAGATTCCTTTTATTGCTTTAGAGAGTCACAGAATGGTTTGGGTTAGAAGGGACTTCAAAGGTCATCTCATTCCACCCCCTCCATGGGCAGGGACACCTTCCACTAGCCCAGGTTGCTCCAAGCCCCATCCAACCTGGCCTTGGACACTTCCAGGGATGGGGCAGCCACAGCTTCTCTGGGCAACCTGTGCCAGGGCCTCCCCACCCTCACAGGGAAGGATTTCTTCCCAATATCTCATCTAAACTTCCCCCCTTTCAGTTTAAAGCCATTTCCCCTTGTCCTGTCACTGGATGCTCTTGTGAGGATTGGCAAATTGTAGTATTATCTATTCCAATAATCCTGAGTCCTTGGAGATTTGCTCTCCTTTGATCTCATTAGAGGTCAGAGATCAGAGATGAGTTGCTTGATGTTGTTTCCACATTTAACTCTCTCTCCAGAGAATCAGCAAAAGGTGGAGCACAATTCCTTTTAAGAGCAGTTAAAATGATGTTAGTTTTAACTGCATCAGGGGAAGGTCCTTCCTTATTTTTACAAGGACAAGTAGAAGTGACAGCTCTGTTCCTGAATTCTATTTTTACTCCTTCCTGGCCTTAGAGATATTCTTGATTGCTGCCTGTGAAAGGGCACCTCAAGCTGTGCAGGGTTTATTGTGTAGCTATCAAGAACTGTACCTGGGAGTGGAGGAGATGAGGGAAACAGATACTTACTTTGTTTCCAAAACATGGGCAGGGTTATAGATGGAGTTGGGTGTGGATTTAGCATAGGGAGAAAGTTACACCTGGAGTAAATTGAAGCAGAAGATGCAATCAGGAATCTTCTGAAATGTGGCTTTGTAATCATGCTTGCTTTTTGGGGGGAGAAACACTAAAACAACTCAATCCTTTACCAAAAAAAACCCAAACTGAGGATGTTTTTCCTTCTCACAGTTCCTCTCGAGAGCAGGGCTGAGTTCTGGAATGATCTTCAAATGTCAAAGGTGGGTGTTGGGTCGTTTCTCAACGTGTTACCAAAGTGAGTGGAAAGAAACCCTTGTGTTGGTACATCTTGTCCTGATGAACTTCTTGCAGGACGTGGACAAAAAAAAATTAAAATGCTACTAAAGCATTCTTGCAGAAAAAAGCCATAAAATTCAGTATTTTTTTATCTTTTTTTGCTGACAAACCCCTATTTTGGGTGAAGCACTTTCAGGTTCTGCTAATGCAGGCATTTTTGTAAGCAGTGTTTTAACACCTCTGATTGACACTTATTTCAGTTCCTTGAACTGCCTTTCTCAGCTCCCAAAGTGCCTCCTTTCAGGGACAGCTCTGTCAGGCCAAGAGCTTAAACTTTTATGTGCCTGAAGATTCTCAAAACAAGCTCTGGTGCTGCTGACACAAAACTGCTGCAGTCATGTTCATGTCACAGATGTGCAAAATAAGGAGATGATCTCTTAGAGAGGTAATGGAGAAAGAAATAAAAATACTGATTTTGTTAATCCAGGGAAAAATTTAATGCTGAAACTGGGAAGTCTTTTGAGATCCTTCAGGAGTGATTTCAAGTGCAGCAGTGCTTTGCCCTGTTTCCCAAGACAAGATCTCACTTCCCCATGCATCACATTCTGGCTGGTAAAACATCAGACAAGAAGCAAAAATATAATTTATTGAGCACAGAGTTTTTAGTTGGGTTTTTTTTGTTGTTGTTGTGTTTATTTTCTGGCATGATGGCAAAGGAATCTCCAAGGAGGGAGCACAGGTGTCCCTGTATGCAGATAGTTCTGTGTGTCACTGTCCTTCCTTAGGTGACATGAACCTGTTCTGGGAATGAGTGGGGAGAGAAGTTCTCACCACACAGAGATTGTGCAACCGAGGCTTTGCAGCTTTGACAGACTCTGGCAGAGCTAAACGGTGGGAAACCTCATTAAATGGGCATTAAGGAGGGCCAGAGGTGCAGAGCCTGCAGGTTGTGCTGGCTGCAAAGTGAGCCCTTTAATTGGGAAAAGTCACTGCCTCCAGCAGTGGCTTTGGAAAAGAATGCTAATCAGGTTGGAGGGAGATGGGATGTGACTCTTCTATTTAAATTTCCTGGCTTCTTTCAACCCTAAAATACATGTTTGGGGTTTTTCATCAGGCTTTACTCCCATCAGGGGTCCTGGATGGGCCGTGAGTGCTAATAAGTGTCTCCAGAACTTCCCTGTGTGAGGCACAGGATAACTATGAATGTTTTCCTGGTAGGATTTGCTGTGAACTGCCTTCCCCAGCCTCAGCAGCACTCCTGGGCCAAGAATTTGGCTTTACTGAAAGAATACCTGGCTCTCCACTGTGGAAAAGAAATGTTTTGTATTAAGATGATTTGGGAGAAATTAAAAATGTCTCAGCACATAACTTAGCCCTTCATCATCTAAGACTGGTTTCTGTCATGGCTTTGAACACTGGAATAAGCCCAGCTTTTCTTTCCCTGCACTATTAATAGTTTGGCTCTGCCCTGAGGTTGGCAAACTCGGCTTGGATTTTTAGGGAGTGAAGGAATAACCCAGAGCAGGCTCCAGCTATCCTTCTCTTCGATTAGCCCTTGCCTAAACTCACCCAAGTGCACTGTCTGCCCAGACAGATATTTTTCCAAAAGCCTTCTGTTGGAATGGCAAAGAATTTCTCCTAAATTGGTGCCATCTGCTTCTGTCTCTGCTGTGGGTCCTGAGCCACACATGTCCAGGCAGGGAATCCAGGCAATAGGATTTGAGGTGTTCCTGTGGTTCTGGACTGAAGGAAATCCTTTTCTAAAAGTAACCTTCTGAACCCTCATAACTGAACCCTTCTAATGACTGCCCTAACATTTGGGTTCATTTTATGAAGCTTTTTTATTTCACATCTGGGATGTAAAAAATCTTTGGGAGATTCCAACACAAACAAGGGCAGCAAAGTCTGGATGACAGGAGTTAATTAGCTCCTTAGTATTGACATTATTTCTCCCTTTTCCTGGCCATATTAGAATTTGTCTGACATCCTGGACCCTCTCTTTATTTGCAGGTCATGGCCTGAGTTTCAGAATTCCTAACAAAAGTGGCAGCAGCAAAAGAAGTGATTGGCAGTGTCTGCGTGTGAAGATTCGTGGATTCCTCAAAAGCTGATCATCTGTGTTTTCTCTACATGGCTAAGAAGGATTTTTAAAAAAAGGACTAAATAAAGATGCCACCTACCATAAATCTGAATGGGGCTCGTGTAGTTGTAGCACCCCAAGTAACACTATTTTTTTAACCATTCTAGGATTTAAGACTTCTGTTTGTAGATCTGGGAGCTGGGATGGTTTAGTACTTCCTGGAATTAAAGGTATTTCTTACCTCCATCCCCTTGGGCACAAATCTCTGCTGCAGAAGCAGCGGCATCCAGTGAGATCAGATTATCAGTGTTTGTGTTCTGGCTTTTTATTCCAGCCTCTGTGGGAAATCTGGAGGAGGTTTGACTGTAAAATAGCTTTGCCTTTACTCATTCTCTCCTATATTGCTGTGTAACTTGTAAACAATGAGCACTGCAAAGAAAGACTTTGTGCTTTTTAGGGATGAGCAAAACTGCTTTTGGGGTTTTTGAGTCATCAGTGATCCCTGGGAGTATCCAGTACTGTGGGATCTGTGGATCAGTGATGGTGATGGGACAAGTTGTTGTCAGAAGTGTTTATTTCAATAAATTTGTCAGGTACAGGAGCTGCCTCTCCTGGATCTTCACCATAATTACTTAAAAATTCTGATATTGAGGGGAAAACCCCTTTTCCAGGTGCTTGCCTGCTGCTTTAACACTGCTTTGGGGGAAAGGAGCAGCAGGGATTTAGTGGGAATATCTGGACAAAATTTACCAGTAACTAAGAGAGGGGAAGGTGAGAAATGGCTGCTCTGATGACCTGAGGAGGGTACTTGCCATGGGTGGGTGTTGGATTCCTTTGCTAATAGCAGAAGCAAATTAATTTGCCAGTGGAGCTGGTTGCCATGGGGATGCAGGACAATGGATAAGCTGCAGTGGCTGTGTGGAGATTCATTACTGAATTCCAGCCCTGCCCACGTGCTCCCTCCTGTGCAGGTGAATCCGCACCTTACAGGGGGCCCTGCTCACCTTGGCGGTGTCTGTACCTGAGCCAGGGCAACTCGAGGGGCTGAGGACTTGTCACCCTCCAAACACAGAAACTTTGGGAGTGCTCAGCCTATCCAGGGATAAATTGCACTGCAGAGGCCACTCCTCAGCAGGGAGGGAGATCTGTGCTGGATACAGGGCCCTGCTGACTCCATAAACACCAGTGCGAGGTGATGAGGATCCGAAAGAACTAACACCAGGAAATCCTGGTCTTTCTCCTCAGAGGGCTCCTAAATGTGTAGCCACAGCTCTGCTGATCACATTCCCAGGTGATACTGTCAGGTGTAGTTTTAATTGGGATTGTACATCAGCTGCACACTCCACTCAGGAAATGTTGGCAGGAGAACCACCGTGCAGCCCAGCAGCAGGAATACGGCTGTGCTGGGAACAGAGCAGCCTTGGGGGAGTTTATAAAAGCTCTTCTTCCCTACCCACAGTTTTAAGATTGCTATAATTGGGCATTTAAAGGAAACGACTATACTTAGAGCCCTGGTAGTACATACACAGCCAAACAAATGTCTTGAGACCTGCTGAAAGCTTGCCTGGAAATTCACTTTAATAACAAGAGAAGCACTGGATTATTCTGGTATTAACCTTCAACCTCTGCAGGGCAAGCCCAGCTTAGTTTTAGGAGAATTAAACCGAGAGGTTGGTTTATCCCTGCTCTGAGTGTGGTGGGAAGGGACACAGGGAGCACATTAACAGGTCAGAACTGTTCATGTTTAGCCCTTTGCCTTTAAGCTCTCCTTGGCCTTAGAGCTTCCAAAGCCAACATGTGAGGGAATGGCCTGTGCTGCCAATTTTGGACTCGGGGTGGGAGCAGCCAAGTGGGAGCCTCACACAAGCCATGGCATCACTGTCAGGGTCAGGCACTTAAAAATGGAACCAAAGAATTGCCAGGATTCAACACTGTGGAACAGACTGCTTATCTGCTTCCTATGTTACAGCTGGATCTGATGGCAGATGACTCAGACACTTAAGGAGAGACTTTTGAATCAGGAAATCTACCTTCTCCTCCTTTTTAGATCACAAACAAGCTGGTACTTAACAGGCTGCTGTTTCAGTATTGATGTACTGGTGTGATTCACGTAAAAGCTGTTTATTTACATCAGAGACGTTCATCAAAAGAAGATGTGACAAGTACAGCATGAATGATTCATTCCCATCACTCTGCTCTGCTTTCCTGTTAATCAAGAAACACTTAGATGCATCCAGCTGGGCTCCGCTTCCTTATCCCTTTCCATGTCATCTTCCTCCCCCAAGCCTGTCCAGCCTGGTGTCCCACTGCAGACACTCCTGCTGACTGATCCATGATCCTGCTGGGCGGTGGAAGTCATGAAGCTTGGTTTTCCATGGAGAAGGGGCTGCAGCTCTGCTGAACTCCCTGTGCAGGGTGTATTTTACCTGTGGGGAAGATGGAGAAACAGGCCTTCAGCCCTTAGACTTGACTCCGAGGTGGCAGATCCTAAACTCCAGGGCCATGCTTCCCCCGTTAGGAATATTTGGTGTTGGAAATCTTCTTCCAGAGCAAGGTCTTGAGGTTGTTGAGCACGAGGGAGTGGTGCACCTCCATCTGGCTGGCCAGGCCGCTGAGGGTCATGCAAGTTCGGAGCTGCTTCTGCAGCTCATCCTTCAGCTCCAGCGGCGCCCCGTACAGCAAGTAGTCCTGCAGCAACCCGCACACCTTGGCCAGGTTGGGCTGCACCATGTCGCCCTTGCACTGCTTCAGCAGCTTGTCGCAGGCCGCCGTGCAGTCCCGCCCGTAGGTGCAGTCCACGTTCTGCTCACAGTGACGCCCCTTGAGGAACCCCCTGACTGTCGCCTCCGTCGCCACCTTCCTCAGGTCGACCATCTTGAAGTCGAACTTGTCGTTGTAGCCCACGTTCCTGAAGCCCGTCTCGCAGATGTAGAAGCTCCCGTAGGTGCCGTGGAAAATCTCCTCCACGAACTCCAGGAGGCCGATGGCGATCTTGGCGCGCCGGGGCCACGCCGGCGCGAACCACTGGTGGAGGAGCTGGTGGGCGACGGAAGGCAGCAGCGACTGGAGGAAGGGGGGGACATCCAGCCCGTAGAGGGAGGTGTGGGGGATCTTCTCGGTGACGTAGAGGTCCCCACAGTGCCCCAGCAGCTTGGCAGTGTGCTCCTTCTCGTGCAGGGAGAACATGAGAAGAAACTCATTGAGCTGCAGCAGCGCCCAGATGGATTTGGCCTCGGCCAGAGACACTTTCCCGTCACGGTTCACGTCGGCCATGGCGATGACCCGGCTCACCAGGGCTGGGAGGGATGGCTGATCTCCCAGCTTGGACTGCAAATGGGACAAGAGGTGGCATCAGACCCCCAGAGCTCTCTGTGTTTGGGTGTCAAAAACCGAACTGGGAGTGTGAAGACCTGAGCTGGGGAGAGGAGGAAACAGCGCCACACTCCAGAAGATCTGATGCCACAATATTGTGTGGACAGATTCAGCTCCAGCAGAATGTTACCAGCCTCAGGGCTCCAGACAGGAGCATGGTTTTGGGAGCAAAGGCCAGGCACCACTGCTGACCCAGAAGCCCCACACAGGGGCCACCATGGGCTTGTGAATCAGCTCTGCCCAGCACAGATGCCACCCAGAGCCAAGGCACAGAGGCCTCCAGGGCTGCTGCTACTCAAATATCACCAATAAGAGCTCCTGGGAGAAAATGGAGGTTTTTCTCCACTAATCCAGTACGTGGCAGGGAGCACCCAGCCCAGCACCCAGCAGTGGGTGGAGGAGTGTGGGCCAGAGGAGATCTCGTTCGAGGGAAAGACACAATTAGTCTTCCCAACTTGTAGGTGGCATCCTGGGCCTGTGGGATCCCACAAGCCCCTTGCACTGACCTTGAGGAAGTTGAGGAGCATTTCTTTGAACTCATCCATGGATGTCCCCCGTGTGGGTTTGTCGAAGAGCACCACATCCCTCCTGGGCACAGAGTCCGGGCGGCTGTCTGCCCTCAGGGCTTCTCCAATGCCACATTTGATGATCACCTCCCTGTCCCTCCAGAGCCCGCTGTAAACCTGCAGCACAGGGGAGGGGACAGGGTGAGGTGGGAGGAGAACAGCAAGTGCAAAAAAAACCCCAGAGCTGGGTTCTGGTTTGGTTGAGGACGGGAACAGGAATGGGGTGAGGAGTCGATCTCCCAGGTTTTATGCCTGTACCCATCCTGTGCCATGTGGTGGAGGAGGCAGAGACCTACCTGCTGGGTGGGAGAGGAGGAGAGGCAGTGCTGGAAGAGGAGGCCACGTTCCTCACACAGATCCTTGCATGTGGAGCCAGAAATGATTCCTTTCTTGTACTGGTCACACTGGGGAGGGGAAGGAGAGAAAGGAGCTCAGCAGGGGCAGCTGCACATTCACCCAAAGAAGTCTGATAGATCCAAGCTTATTCCCACAGCTCATGGAGCACCCCAGGGACACAAGCTGGGGGTATGTGACCCCCCTCAGGCGCCCATGCCATGCCAGCACAGTGTGCAGGTGTTTTTGGGTGATGTCTGCACCTTGGTGGCCATTTCGGCCACTTCAGGGGGCTGGGAGGGAGAGGAGCACCTTGTGCTCAGACCTTGATCAGGGAGATGTAGTGCCAGTTGCTCAGAGTCCAGCCTCTTCCAGCACCCCCAAACTTCCTATTCCATTTTCCAAAAATGTCCCAGCCCAAAATCTCCTCTGCTCTAAGACCCAGAGAAGGGTCTGGCCCTTGGGGATGGCTCAGTTCCTTGGGCACAGTGGGGCTGGGCTGGCAGGGACCCCCTGTGCTGCTGGAGGGACCACAGGAGATTTGCTCCTGGATGCAAATCCAGGAGTTTGGGAAAGCTTCCAGGGCTGGAGGAGAGGACAGTGTGGATTTGAGGAGAATGAGGTTGCAGAGGCTGAGGCTGCTCAGCAGAGCAGCAGCCCCTGCTGTGAGATGGGCTGGCCCTGGTCCAGGGGGTGGCAGGGGCAGGGACAGACGGTGGCTCTGATCCTCTGGGCTGGGAGATGGAGACATCCCTGGGAAGGAGAGGCTGCAGCGCTGCAGCTCCTCAGTGAGGGCACAGCAGCCTCGGGGCTGAAAGCAGGAGCTGCAGACATTCACTGCATCTTTTCCTCCTTTTTTTTTTTTCTGATGTGGATGGGAATTAACCCTTGGACCTGCTCACAGGAGACACGGCCAGACAGAGTGTCTGGAACCCCGAGCTCAGAGCAGGAATTAGCGCCCAAGACCCCGTGGTCGGAGTCAGGCAGAAAATCAAATTAAACGATCTCGTAGCTGTTGTTATGGCAATTCCTGTCTCCCTCCTCTGCTGGGGGATTGGCCAACGAGGCATGTTCTGACAGAGCCTGGCATCCCCCTCCTCCCCTGGGCTGGGCAGGTGACCTGCTCCCCTGCCATTGGGCCACACAAAGCGATCCCGGGGGCATCCCGCTGGCATCTGTGGGGGACAGGCTGCACCCCACTGCAAGCCTCAGGCAGGGGAAAAACACACCAAGCCAAGCTGCCACGAGGTGTCTGCTCTGGTGCTTTCCTTAGGGCACATCAGCAACTACAGAGAGGTACCCACGGACTGGCTGCTCCCCTTTTTTCTCCAGCTCTGTGGAGCCCAGGGTGGCACGATGCTGTCCCTGCCCACAGATCCTGCTCTCTGCTCACTGATGTTCCAGCTTCATCTCCACAGGCATTAATCTGCCCACGTCTGCCTGGCCTGCCCTGGCTGCTTCCCTCTGACATCTCATTACCCTGTTTCTCCCTCTCCCTGGCAGGGGAAGGTCACCTCTCCCACCCCCGGGACGGCACCAGGGAAGCAGCTGCCAGAAGGGCTCCCTGGCCCAGCTTTGGGGCTTGGGAGGCAGGGAATGGGGCTCCCACGGCCCTGCTCACCCCAGCACCCCAAACTGGCCCACTCACGATTATCATCCGGCAGACGTGGCCGCGGCAGAGCTCGGAGTAGGACGAGTAGTGCATGTAGGCCACCCAGCTGCCCACGAAGATGCCCAGCCACACCACCAGCAGGTACTTCACCTTGATGCCCGGGAGGCGACCCTGGAAGGGAAAGGAAAGGCTGGTGAAGGGCAGGGCTCTGCCCAGGGCAGCAGCAGCCGGACAAGGACAACTTCTGCTGTACAAACTGACCTGAGCGTTGGCGAAACCTTCAGCCTTTTTTATATATATTCATCAGCCTATTATGCAACTCCTGCTTCAAGTAGGTCACTTAAAATTCCCTAAAAGCAGGGAGATTACAGCACTGGGCTGCATGAGCTGGATGCTGTGCATCCCTGGGAGCTGCAGCCATGAACACCCGCTCTCCTGCCCTTCCCCTGTCGGGGCTGTGAGAGGCTCTGCTCCTGTTTGGGGAGACCCTTCTCAGCAGAACCCCCTTGCAAAGCCCCACAGGCACAGGTGGCTGCCACCACCAGCTCCTGCATGGAAACAGGCAAGTGAGGGACCTGGCAGCACATGGGCAATGCTCTGTGCAAACGACTCGAGGCTCACAACGGGATTTTGTTTTCTTGGCTTTGTTTCTTCCCCCTGACCCTGCACGAGCAGCTCTGCTGCCATCTGGCCTCCCACAACAGAGGCTTCTCACCTGCCTCATGTCACATGGTGCAGATCCCTGGCACTTCTGAAGGGCAGGGAATGAATCCTTGCATCAAACACCTCATTCCCTCTGGTTTCTACAGATAATTCTGTAGAAAGCCAGTGGCCACCTCCAAAGCCTCCTCCCTCCTTGTGCTGGTGAGAGCACAACCTGCTGCTGGGATAGGGCTGGATCTGAGTGGGTGCAGCGCCGTTACAACCTGCCAGGGATCCTTGCTTGGGTCTCATAGCCCAAACCCACTCCCACTTCTGAAACACCTCCTCCCCACCCCTCTGCAGGTTCTGCAGGGGCTCTGTCAGGGTGATGGGGCCTCCTGCCTTCCTGGCTGCAGCCACTGGCTCACCCCAGCCCTGGGAGTCCCAGGAATGAGCAGGCAAAGGTGAGAGCAGGCAGGTCTGCCTTGAGACCATGGCATTTCTCATGTTAATTGGAAACCCCAGAGTGAGAAGCGGGCAAGGGTGCCTGGTTTGCCTGTCAAGCAATGGCACCGCTAATTAATGTGAAATTTAATTAAAGAGAACCCAACCACGGTCAGGACTTGGTAAAGACAAAGGATGGGTGGCTGCTCCTGTGTGCTGAGAACCAGCTCACGGCCCTGAAGTCAGACACACACCTCTGTGACCCCCGAGAGCCTCCCCAGCACAGCAGCCCCCCTAGAACTGCCCAAGGGTGAGTACATGACCCATCAGGCCTCCTGCCCTCAGCAAAGGGGTTCTTCCCATGGATCTCCTACTAGAGACATGTCTTGGAACAGCAGAACCCTGGAAAGGCCAGAATGTCCCTTTTTTGCTTATTTCAGACTTGGAATTCATCATGTTCCTGGGGCAGGAGGGGGATCAGGACTCTGGTCTGAGCACATCATGGGGAGCACTGGTTTCATCATCCCCTAAATGGTGGAAAAATACGTGGGGGATGCATTTCAATGAGAGATGCCACTGGGCTTTGGGTGGATTTTGGATTCCAAGGTGGTGCCAAGGGCTCCTCCAGGGCCTCAGTCTCAAAGCACGGGAGCTTCCCTGCCCACTGCCTGCCCTGCACCAAAGGGTGTTACCTTTTGATTGTGAGAGTTGATGTGTTTAGTTTTAGGATGACTCTGGAGGAACCTGGAAGTGACTTTGGGCAGGAGCTGACTTCAAAGGCAAAATGGATGCAGCATCACAAAATCCTGCTCCATCCCTGTGTCTCCCCTGCAGCACCCTGGGAACACGGGGGTTGTTTCACAGCAGTCCCAGCTCTGCACCCACCTCCTGCCAGCACCTTCTGCCCAACGGGAACCCCCTCCTGTGTCCCCCACGTGCCCTCAGGAATAACCTCTCTGGTCCAGGACTTTTGCCAGAGTCGGGGTTTCTCATCCCACAGCTGCAGAGAAAACACCCACACCAGCATCCCTGACATCCCTGGTCCTCAGCATCTCCAGTCCCTGGAGCTCTGAGGCGGCTCTCCAGCCCCCCCGGCAGCGCGGGGATGGGAAGAGGGGTAGAAATAAAGAAAGAAAGGAAGAGAAGGAAGGAGCCACTCCTGCCGTGCTGCATCGGCGGCTTCACCCACCGCTGCGGGCTGCCAGATGGGCTGCCCTGATGCTCCCAGGCTCCGGCACGGCGGAGCGCGGCGCGGGTTATGCAACGAGCTGCGGCCGCCGGTGCCGGTCCCGACCCTCCCAGTGCCGGTCCAGACCTCGCCGGTGCCGGTTCCCGGCTCCCCATCTCCCCGCACCGGCGGCGGTGGGACCGCGGCGGAGCGTCCCTTTGTGCACGGCCGGTGCCAGGATGCGGAGACGGGCATCCCCCATCCCAGCGCATCCCCCCATCCCGGCGCATCTCCCCGGCCCGGCGCACCCCCGAGCCCGCATCCTCCACCCCGGCGCATCCCCCCTATCCCGAGTACCTGCAGGCCCTTGGAGAAGGGGCAGAACAGCACCAGATGCACCAGCCGCCGGATCCTCCGCATGCTGCGGGCGCCCCGCGGCCGCGGGCCTCAGGCTCCGGGGGGCATGGCCGGCGCGGCCGCGGCCCCCGCCTCGCCGCCGGGGCCGGAGGGGCCCGGGGGGGGCCGGGGATGGGGGGCCCAGCCGCGCCGCCCGCTCGCTCCGCCGCAGCGCCCGGCCCGGCCCGCGGGGCTCGGCGGCTCCGCCCGGCGCGGGGCGGTGCGGGATGGGGGGGCGGTGCACGCAGCTCCCGCAGCCCGGGGAGGCGGGGGGCTGCTGCCCGGCTCGGCTCAGCTCGGCTCGGCTCCGCAGCATCAGCCCCCGCCCCACCGGCCCCGCGGGGGTCGCACCCACGCCGGGTCAACCCGACCTCGCATCTGGGGACCCCCCCCGGGCATCCCACCTGGGGGTCCCATCCCACAGCCCAGGGGTCCCACCCACCCGGGGATCCCACCCCAGGCTAGGCAAGGTCCCCCAGCCGCCGTTAATGACCCTGTCGGAGGGGGTCCATGGAGATGTTGATGTGCCCCGGCCCCAAGCCCCAAGCTTTATTTAAAGCTATTTTGGGTGGCAGATTCCAGAACCCCCCCCCCCCCCCGGTTACCCGCAGCACGGCTCGGGGGCTGCATCCCCTCGAGGCTGAGACCTGCCATCATCCCTGCTCCTTTGCCTCCTCGCTGTTTCCCTTCTCCATCCCAAAGCCCAACAGCAGCAGCACTGGTTGCCCTCCCTGTTTGCATTGCGGCTCGGCAGGGAAACCTCGAGGCAAGACAGGGGCTGCTTTGTGTCAGACACCGACAGACAGGCCAGGGACAGCCTTGTCCAGGTGTACACAGGCAAGCAAGGGGGACAGGGAGACAAAAATATGACGGAAATTGGTCCTGGAGGGTCATCATTAAGATAATTCTTTGCTTGCTATTACATCTTCATATTATCCAGTTGTCCCCTTTTCACGGTTCAGATTGCTCCCTCCTCTTGCATTTGGCTCAAAATGACCTTTATAAACAAGCTGGTCACTCCATACCCAGATCCTCACTCAGTGTGTGTGTCAAGCTCACTACTCAGTGTCAAGCAAAAGCCTTTGCTGGTCTAATCCAAATAGTGGTGATAAATAACAAGCATCACACAAAACTGGCTGAAACCCCCAAATCCTGCAGTGTGTTTGCTGTCTGCTTTTAACCCTGAGATCATCCCACTGCTCCTGTGCTGTGAGAAGCCCGTGCAATGCCCAGACCTCCACGTGAGCTGACATTGCCCACAGCACTGCTGCAGTAACGGGGCCGGTGAACATCGCCTTGGCCACTCACAGCTCCCACCCATGCAGGTTTTAACATCCCACTGAATCCAGGGTGGTTCTCTGGAACTTCTATGGCTTATTTTTAGTTTTAATTAATGCAGTAAGAGAGAAAACCTCTGGGATTTATTTTTATTTTTCGTGGTGGGGTTGGAAAACAGCGGGGACAGGAAGGTGCATCGCTGGGTGCCCAGTAGCTGAGCCAGCTGTGAGGATGAGGAGGGTCTCAGTGCTGTGATATGCTGCTTTCCTGCACAGCTACAGGGCAACAGTTCTTTTCAAGCACCAATAAATTCCTTATTTTCCTCCCAGCCTGAAGATGTTTTCATGCTCACCTGAGCATTCCTCAGAGGGATTTCTCTCCCACCACCCTCGGTGCCATCTCGGGAGGCTGAGCAGTGGAAGCAGCTCTCCTGCCCTGCCCACCCTGGGCTCCTCACCTCCACCCCAACTCCTGCCTGCCCATCCTCATCACAGGATCTGTTGGGATCTGTCCTGCCTGCAGTGATGTCCCCTCTGTGCCATGGCCTGGGCTTCCCAGCACCCCTTGCTCCCTGCTCACCCTCCTGCTGCAGCTCCCCGTGCCTTGATCCCTGATTTTGGGGGTCACGTGTGGCACACACAGGTGGGATGAAACCCTGGATGGAGATGAGAATTACAGATCTGGACCAAAGCTGAGGGAGGCTTGAAATCCAGGGATCTCTGCCATGGGGCTCTGCAACACTCAGAGGTGGATTGTCCAGCAAATCTAATTAGGAATGAGCAGACCTTCCCAAGCTGTAATATGCCAAGTAATTAAGTGATTAGTATTGATTGTTAGAATGCCTAATAAGCAGTTATCACTGAATGATTAATTAATCCAATCAAAAGAGTAATAACAATTCTGCAGGTGTGATTCTATCTTATATTCAGTGTGCAAGGGAAAAGAGATCTTTCCCCGCTGTTCCTGTCTCTTGTTTCTATCCCAGGCACCCGGCACCAGGGATGCTCCTGCTCCCTCAGCTTGGGCTGCCCCTGTGCAAGGGATCTCTCCCCTTCCCAAAAATCCCCCTGGCATTGCCAGGATGGGCTCCCAGCAGCAGGCAGGCACTCAGAGCTGAGCTGTGCGGCTCGGAAGTGGGGAAGGGGGTCCCCCAGGCACCATCCGGAAGATGCCAAAAGCAGTCCATGATGATCTCTTCCCTGGGAATTCTTTCACTCGCTCCCTTGATTAAGTCGCTTCAGTTTCTCCTGGTCAAAGCCCTGCTAATCCCAGCTAAGCCCGCAGTGTGCCGCACGCTGGCCTCCGATCACTTCCCAGCCAGGCGGCGGCTCTGCGGGCACGTCCCCAAGAGCGCTGTGCCTTCGGGACATGGGAGCTCCCAGGGCAGCCGCAGCCCTGAGCGGTCTTTTGCTGGCCCATAATGTTTGCCTGATTAAATGATAACGAATAAATTATCAGCCAGCTAGTGCTAACAGCAGCGCGGAGCAAGGACGCCCCAGACATCCACCTCCGCATCCCCTCCAGAGCACCCGCCTTCCTGCGGGTGGGATGTCGGGGTTGGGTGACAGCTGGGGACTGCACAGCCCAATGCCATCGCCTGCAGGGCCCAGAGCCACTGCTTGGCAGGGGGTGCAGGACCCAGAACCAAAAGAGGGGCACACGCTCTCCCCTCTCCAAGCGGTGCCATCAGGATCAGCCCTATGGCCACAAAACAGGGGGATTTGAGTCCTGGGGAGCTGTGCATTCCCAGGCGCCGCTGCAGCCCCGGCGATGATGGATCCAGGCTCTAATGCTCTTTTCTGTGCATCCTTTAAGGATTTGAGGCTTCCTGCGTGGCATCCACAGCTGGCTCCGCGCAGCCCGTCAGCTGCCTCTGCTGCCTGCCGGGCGCTGCCGGGCTGAGCGCAGCGGTTATAATTAGAAATGCTAATCAGCTCTTGTGTTTCTGGCTTGACAGCCCTGCCACCCCCAGCACAATCTTCCCTCCAATCTGTCCTGTGCTCGCCCCCTCTGCTTCCTCTCCAAATCCCTGCTACTTGTAATTAAGCACCACGGAATTAGCGGAGGTCAAAAGCTGGGGCTGCTGGGGCTCGCTGGACGCTTTGGGCAGGGTGTGCAGCCCCCACAGAGCTCGTGGGTTGAGGGGGTCCCGCCTCCATTCACCACCATCCCCTTGGGCTGGGGACAGGGAAGGCCCTGCACCTGAACCATGGGATGGAAGAGGGGGAGCCCAAGGGCTTCGCTGCCAGCAGTGCCAGGGTTAAAGGCAAAGGGTGGTGGCTGTGGCCCGGAGCCCTGTGGCTCTGCCAGCCCAGTGGCTCTGGAAAGGATTCTCATTGGGATTTCTGTCATGTGCCAACTGTGGGCACTTCCCGGCAAAGGAGGAAAAGGAGCTCAGAGAAGGAGGCTGAGCAAACAGATCCCCGGATTAGCTGGTTACGGAGTTATTCATCATCACAGAGTGCACTGGGAGACACAACCCAGGGCATTCCTCCCTCACTGGTGGCCACAGACAGCCCCTGGCAACCCCCAGCCCCTCCACACCACACCCTGAGGCAAAGCACTCCTGCTGCTGTGAGAGCCAGGACATGGCTTTCACCCAGAGCATTTGGCTTCCAAAGTCAGGCTTGGCCAGGGGGACATTCCTTGGAACAGGCACAGGGCTCAGCTGGCCTTGGAGGAGACTGAGATGCACAGGTGGGACGAGCAGCTCTGGACACCATGTGCGGACACACAGGCCACTGTGCTCAGAGAGGGACAGCATCCAAACACGAGCTGGCTTAATGCCAGCAGCTCAACATTCCTCTCCCCGGAAAACATGGGCTGTGGCATCACAGCATGGCAGGGGCCAGGCAAATGCTGGTGGTCCCTCACCCCACAGATGCCATTCAGATGCTCACAGACACCTCTGAAGCCTCCTGGGGTCGTGCCCAGGGTGCCGATGTGTTAAGAAGGGTTGGGCTTTCCCAACTGACATCTGAACCGCATCAAGTAACCCACAGCATCGGGACAACACAGCTGCACCAACATGGAGCAGGAAATGAATTTTATCTGGAGCCACAGCCCACATACCCACCTGAGATATCAGAGCATCTCTAAGTGGTCCTGTTCTGGGAGAAAACACACACAACTCTTGGGTTTTTAAGTCAGCCTTCATCTTCCAGGTGCTCTCTGTTTATCAGCCTCAGTGCAGGAGAGAGGCTGCAGTTTGGAGGGTTGGTGTGCAAAAGGTTTTCAAGTAGACAGTGGCTGTCTGAGGAAGGAGAACCCCCCTCACCTCCTCTGCCCAGGACCCCCACATGTGGCTTCACTTGGGACACACATCTGCTGGCTGCAGCATACCTTCAGTGTGTGAAGCAACAAAGGGCTCCCCCTCCTCCTCACACACCGAGCACTTCAATTTCTGGAGAAAAGCAAATAAAAGAAATGAAGATGCATCACAAAAAGGGAGCAGGAGGGACAGGGCATGGTGGCTCTGATGATGATGCACTTGTGAAAAGGTACCAGCAGCACAGGCAGCTGACTGGGAAAGCTCTGGGCAGAAGTCGGATTGGATTTGTCATGACTAATTGACTCCCTCCAGCACTGTGGTACAAGTTTCACGCTTCGCATGAGCAGGGTCCCGAGCAGCCAGGAATTAATGAGGGTCTGACCCTGCCTGCGCAGCCACTTGAGTTCTTCCAGTGCAGACAGCTGGCTTAAGAGGGCCCTTTATTCTTTACATATCAGATCAATCGGGAGAGTTATAATCTAGTCCTGGTGAAAGCCTGGAGTCAGACTTTATTGCCCAACCAGCTCAAGGAGAGAAAAAGCAAGCAAAAGGAAGAGGTCATGCTGAACTATTGATCGTGCAGGTGGCGGGGCTGCTCCTGGGACGGCCTCTGAAGAGCTTACCAGGACAGTTTGCCT